TAATTGAAAACCTTGTTTATTATTTTATAATGAGTAATGAAGTAATAATTTACTAATTAAAGAAAAACTTGCTATTAGACTCATTCGACTAAATACAGAAATGTATCATCTTCAGTTTTCAATAAATTTCGCTTATCTACATAGTTAATCATTCATAATTATGTGTTTTATCAATAACTTTTAAAAGTAACTTATCTGTTAAAATGTATTGTTTTTCATAAAAAAAAGTTCTATATTGACTTTCAAGTAGAATAGAAAGAAATAATTGTCAATAAAAGTATTTCAAGAAAATATATTCTGTTTGAGTTTATTCAGTAAAAGAAAAATTTCTAATTGAAATTTAGCATTTACCCGACGAATTATCAAACGTGTTAATATTCTACGTAAATCATCACTTTTTTTAATATCTATTATCTTTTCATGTTATTTGAAAGTATTCATGTTAAATCAGATGGTATTTGGTTCCTGGTACTATCATACATTTATTTCTTCTTTTCTTTATTGTTATTACTTTGTCGTTTACTCGAGAATATCTCAATGTTTCACTTCTATATTATGTGTTCTAGCAAAGAATATTTGTAAAATTAAAGACAGGTATTCCGAAACGCGATGAAATCAGACCAATTTCCTAACTACAAAAACATTCAAAACTTTTCGAAAAACTAATACTTAATAGAGTTAGATACTGGGCGGAGACAAATTATATAGTGCCTGTGGAACAACAATAGAGATTTCGTCCCCAATGTTTGCTACCCACAAGAATTTTGTCAATTTATCAAGAAGTAAACAATCTTTATGACAAGGAACCTACTGGCTTTAGCAATCTATATGGATTATCAGAAGGCCTATGATCGTGTGTGGTACGCAGATCTTTTGCCTAAGCTATGAAAATTAGGCCTACCAACGAGCCTGTTGAAAATGATAATATCATGGTTAAAAGATAGAAGAGCGTTCTTGATATTCGGAGAAAAGTTTTCAGAAACATTTAATATAAACATTGGTCTACCTCAAGGCAGCAGTTTTAAATCCATACCTATTTATCGTGTTTCGCTGTGATTTAGTTCAATGTTTAGAAGCACATTCAGGTCATCTTTTCGCCGATGATCTGTATGTTATTCTGAGGCCCCGATTATAATAAAATTAGAGCGTATGATCAAATATCTAGAACAAAAAAGTACTCGAGTATGTGAAAGAATATATTTCCATACTCAAAAAAATGGAAGCAACCTATAAATGCGTCAAAAACAGTGATGCAGTTATTCTACACACAAATAAAAAAAGCCAAGAGTAAACATAGAAATGAATAGACAAGAAACTGAATTAGTAACCGAATTCAAGTACTTAGGATTCTCTTAGACAAGCAAGCTATCTTTGAAACCAACAATTGATAGATGTTTAGGAAATATTCAGAAATCCTTGAGAAAGTTAAAGTGGTTGAGAGAAAAACGTTTTATGTCTACTAAGACACTTAGGCAATGTTTTTTCGCACGTACATTCTTCCATTTTGCATAGAGGGGTGTGGGGGTATGGGCAGACATGGGCAGAGATGGACAAGTCAGCTATTTTTTCACACAAGTCAAGTCAAGTCATTTCTTAAAGGAATCAAGTCAAGTCATTGTTTCGAAGTACAATATCTCAAGTCAAGTCAAGTCAAGTCTCAAGTCATTGGCTTGAATTTTTTTAATTTTCATAATTTAATCATGTATCAATTTATTGAAAAAAATTAAATCAGCTCCTTATTACATTTTAACATGGTTAAGATTTGCAAAGTCTTTCTTGACATCTTGATCCTATGTTGTCGAAATATAAAGCCACTTTGTGAAAATATTCTTTCGATGGGTGATGATGTTGCAGAAACTACCAACACCTTCCTTGCCAATTGGTTCAGTATCATGTATTTAATCGATTGATTAATTAGAATAAACCGATTCGAATCACTATTATCTTCATTAAGATACTTAGTGATTTCATCTTTAATAAATGCAAAATTATCAATCTTTTGTTTTTTAATACTTTTACGTTCAATATTTGAAAAAAGACTTTTGCGTTTTGGTGTTGATCTTGGTGTTGTTGATTGTTCATCATCAGTAACGTTTACTTCACGTGTTGTTGAACAATCACTATGCTGAAGTACTACACAATGATCATATATCAAATTTTTTATTTTATCACAAATAATAGTTTTTGTCTTTAATGGCTTTGCGGTCAGCAATTGACAGTGGTAAATCAAGATCAATGATTAAATTTTCTACAATAGATTGAGATAATTGAATTTGTCGTGGATGATTATTATCATAAAAAGCTTTTGAAAATGATGATGTTCTTGCTGTTTCATTAGTTTTAATAAATATATCAGATATGTTTTCCCGATCTTTGTTCCTAGATTGATTTAATTGGGCAAGCCATTCTTGATATTCTTTTCCATGTTGAGTTTTTACATGGTGATTCATGTTCGATGTTACACCTTTATTATCATATTGAATTTTATTACATAATATACATTGGCCTGACCAATTTGTTTCATAAGTTTTGATATTCACATAAAATTTATCTCGTACTGTTTTGGGAATATTAACAATGGTGTGTGATGTTGTTTCAGTTGAATCATCCGATGTAGAAAAAAGTACTGGAACAGGTGATAATATACGCACATCTCGAGAATCAGGTAGAAGGTGAACATCAACGTGTGAGATTAAATCACTCATATTCAATTATGATACAAATTGTAATTGATTTAACTAGTGTAATACAATAGCTCACTTATGAATCAGATTCAGTCGTATAATTGCTTATATAACTGCTGATGACGATGTTAGATATTTTCTTTTTTGTCGACCAAACAGACTAGACGGTTACAAAAAGAATTAAGAAATGTGATTGATGTTTCGACGTAGAAAAATCAATTACATTTAGTTCATTTTTAATTCGTCTAGTCTGTTTGGAGCAAGGGGGAAAAGCGTATTTCTAAGTATTTCTAGGTATTTCTAACTATTGCTAGGTACTTCTAGGTACTTCTAGGCACTTCTAGGTATTTCTACGTGCTTCTAGGTATTTCTACGTAGTATGGGTAGAAATACCTGGAAATACCTAGAAATACTTAGAAATACCTGAAAATACATAGAAATACGTAGAAATACATAGAAATACGGAAATACAGAAATACGCTTTTCCCCCTAGCTTGAATGACTTGACTTGAAAATTTTTTAGATGACTTGCGGCTTGACTTTGACTTATCAGAGAAAAGTTTTTGATGACTCATGACTTGACTTGACTTTGGTTTTTCATTTTTTTGACTTGACAAAAAAAACAAGTCAAGGCAGATACTCTTTTGCAACTTATATATACATATTACATTCGCATTATGTAAAGTTATTTTGTGCTCTCGTATGAGAATTCTCTTCTTGTCTTTTCCATAGCTGTCGTATAAAAAAGTGTTCATTTTCTCGTCATGTTATCTGCGAATTGTACGTATGAAATAAGGCTCCAAACCTAGGGGGAAAAGCGTATTTCTGTATTTCCGTATTTCTATGTATTTCTATGTATTTCTACGTATTTCCAGGTATTTCCAGGTATTTCTAAGTATTTCTAGGTATTTCTGAAATAGAGAAATACTTAGAAATACGCTTTTCCCCCTTGGGGGGGGGGGGGGGGGAGAGGGGTTTTTTTTAAAAGCTTTTTTTTTTTTTTGAAAGTGGA